AATCTATGTAAATTTAATTAATTTAATTAATAAATATACTTCAATTTTATTTTTTGTTTTGAAGTCTAAGTTCAGGAATTCTGGATTAACTTAGGTCTGTGGCAGTCCAGTCCAGTCCAGTTTTGTGTTGGGAGAGTCCAGTGGAGTCCAGTTTTGTGATTTGCAGTCCAGTCCAGTCCAGTCCAGTCCAGTTTTGTGCTTGCAGTCCAGTCCAGTCCAGTCCAGTCCAGTTTTGTGCTTGCAGTCCAGTGGAGTCCAGTGGAGTCCAGTTTTGTGATTTGCAGTCCAGTCCAGTCCAGTCCAGTCCAGTTTTGTGCTTGCAGTCCAGTGGAGTCCAGTGGAGTCCAGTTTTGTGCTGGGAGTCCAGTGGAGTCCAGTTTTGTGATTGGCAGTCCAGTCCAGTCCAGTCCAGTGGAATCCAGTGGAATCCAGTGGAATCCAGTGGAGTCCATGTGGATTATGTGGGGGATGGTAAAGTATTGCACCTATTCTGTGGTAACAGGTTGAGCTAAGCATGTATAAGTGCTCGGCAACTCTCCCCCACATCAGTCTCAGCTCAGGTCTTGTGACTCACAAAATTGACAAGTCTGGTTGTGGAGGCTCTTGACAGCACTTGTGAAGCTGCAATTACCACTGGCTCCACAATAACTGCCAGCTCCAGTCATGAAGCTGAACAGAGATGCTGCATCATCAAGTAAACAAGGCTACCTGCCTCACAAAATAATCACTCCCCTGTCCAATTCAAAGTTGAAATATTATTCTCAATATACCTTGAATGACATCTCATAACTCTACATCCATATTAATTCATGTAAGTCATGTACAAAGAGTGTGATAGGCAGCTACAGTACTCCCATAGAGTTTAGAAACCTAGATTATCTTCTAGATGTTTGATGGACGGGGTTTGAAAATATATTCAGCCAGCTTTCTAAACAGTACAAATCTACACAAGCATAATCAATTTTTTTTGTGGAAGCAGATCTTGTTTAAATTCAGGATTCTCCACTTGAGCTCATTATCGTATATGTGGTATCCCTGTATAGATGTGTATTCATGTATCCACATATATGTGTATTCTTGTATTCATGTATTCATGTATCCATGTATCCACATATTATTGTATTCATGTATTCATGTATTCATGTATCCACATATTCTTGTATTTATGTATACATATTCATGTATCCTTGTATCCATGTATCCTTGTATCCATGTATCCACATATTCTTGTATTTATGTATACATATTCATGTATCCACATATATGTGTGTATTCATCAAGAATATGCATATATGTTGGATACATGAATACATAGCTATGTGTATACAAGGATACCCACATACATGGATACCTGCATACAA